GTTGTGCTAGCTACATTAGCTGAGTAACTGGCTAGCTAACAGCTATTTCTGGCTGGTTAGTTATCAAGCTAAAACTAGCTGTTAGCTAGCTAACAGTTGGCTAATCAGCTAGTAGTTAATGTGGCTAGCATATATACTTTTTTTTTGGGCTAATCTTTTCTTAAGGGGTCACCACAGTGAACTCGCACGAAGACTTGCAAATTGTTTTTACGCCGAATGCCGTTCCTGACACAACCACCGAGCTACCACAGCCCTCTGTGTGGAGCACAGGGCTGCCATCTAGGGCACCCGGGGGCACAGATGGTGGGGTCAAGGGTCTTCACAAGGGCCCAGAGTGGGGCAAATAAGGGTGGAGGCAAATATGTGTGCTTCACCTTTCCCACCCACATTTTTGTTGTTGATCGGTCCATGGAATTGAACCGGCGATCTTCCGATCACAGGGCCACCTTATCTAGCCTTTGCGCCACCACTCCCCTATTTACTTTAACTGCTTGTAAATTCTTTAGCTAGCTAATATAGCTTAGATAAATAGCTAACAGCCAGCGTATCCAACTAGCTATGATCTCTAAAACAACGATCAGTTGGATAGTTAGTTAGTTAGTTAGCATAGCTTAGATAGATAGGTAGCTACTAGCTACTAACTACAACTATACAAGTAGCTGCATATTTAGCACAACTAGTTGCATAGAAATATAGATAATGTAGCTAGCAAAACTACACTGACTGCGTAGTATAGACAGACATAGATATAGTGAGTGAATATCATTCTTTAATAATGTTTCTAACTGTTCAACATAAAAATCATCCATGTACCAGTCATAAGCAAAATAAAGCTGAAGGAAACTTATTAAAAAAAGTTGTTTATGTGCTGTTTTTCTCACCCATTTTCTTGAGCACATTAGCGCAGCGGCAGACGTGGCTCAGCAGTTGGCTATACGTTATGGTCTGGTGATGGTCGGGAGAGTTACCTTCCCTGACAAGACAACATGCAAGCAAAATACTGTCACTAAAGTACTGTGCAAGCTCAAAGTTTACATTCAGTGTACACTGTCACCTTCTCCAGAGTCAGGTCCAGAATAGTGCTCAGTAATGCACGTAGCATGGGTAAATTTATATACCTGCATGTTAAACTATTAGACATATAAACTGTATATGCCTTTTACCTTTTATGATACTAATTTAGCTAACATTTAGATCTTGTAGCTCTTAAGGTACTTGTTTTATTCTCTATAGTTACACTTTCAATCAAATTGTAATGACCTAATGCCTTAAGGAGGAAAAGTGAAGTCACAGAAATATGAATACTTAGAATATGAATACTGTATGAATATAGGATGTAGTAATATAAATATAATATATAGTAGTATAGTATGAATACTGCAGAATTTGTCTGCAGTACAAACTCCTAAAAGAATAATGGATTGATGTTCCAAAAACAAATTGATTGGATATCTAACTATTTTGTTGTTATTTAAGTATGACAATTCTTCTCTTTACCTTGCTCATACAGAAAATATTTCCCAAGCAGAATTTAAATTTTAGCCATTTTATTGCCTGCAGATTTACGTAAAGTTAAAAGCACAAGTATTTTCTTCTATATAAATAAAAGGTCTCACATCAAAATGAAGCTCGTTGCTCTAAAGGCTTAAATTAAAGCGCAAGGAAGTGAGTTTTTGTTCCATCCCTGTTGCCTCCAAGAGCTTCTGAGCCTCAGGTTGACAAAGTCAAACAAAGGCTGTGAGCCGTCTGCTTACCAGGCCGCCATGTGAGATGTGTTGATTTTATGATTCAAGGTGCAAAAAGCTGTGAAACCGCCCAGTGAAGAGCATGATGGCTCTACTCTAAAGGACCCGAGGGCACATCTGTTGCTCAGTGGTGATTCGGAGCTAAACTTTGCTTTGGTCGCAGTTTGTGTAAAAATGTCCACTTTCACTGAAACGCAAACACCCTCGGATGTGTCTACAGTTATCTGATGGAGTAACAGGTCAAAGAAAACGTTCTCAGCTGATTTTAAAACACCTTTTGTTGCAATAGTCTTTAGAGTTCTGCTATTCGAGACAGTTTTAAACGGTGTTACATTAAATGAAGCTATTTGCAACAACACAGTTCTTCCTCCCTGAATGGTAAATAGACTGTACTTATATAGCGCCTTTCTATCTTATGAAGATACTCAATGATCTTTACATCTGTGCCCTCATTTACCCGTTCATACATCACTCTACTATATCTATACAGAGAATAATCAGTGCTTTAGATCACATTCATACACTGATGGGACACACATCGGAGGCAATGAGGGGTTCAGTGTCTTGCCCAGGGACACTTTGGCATGTGACTGCTGGTGGAATTGAACCCCCAACTCTTGCATTGGAGGACGACTGCTCTAACCACTCAGCCACAGCTGCCCATGAGACTGAGACTGCAGCATAACCCCTGCTTTGATTTCCTGCAGACAGCATCAAAGGTTGGATGGATGTCCGGTGTGCCCGTGTTACACTGAACCCGTACACAGCCGAACGGGCAGAACAGCTATTTTGTTTGCTCAGCCTCTGCCGCTGACCAAACAAATGTGCTGTTATGTAAAGTCACAGCGATTTGAAGTACAGTATATTCATAGGAAACGTTGACTGTGTGAAGATGTACTGTGAAAATATGGAAGTGTATTTTAGAAAAAGAAGCTTCAGGATGATTGAAGCCGTGATATTGTGCTGGGATTTGTCGGCTGCAGTGTGGTTGGCGCAGAGGACGCAGGAGTTGGGATATCTGACATAACTCCAGTCAGGACCTCCCTTCAAAGCCATTCTTCACTCTGAGGGCAGTTTATAACTTATTTTTTATTGCTTACCAGTAATAGGCAACCTTTTCACCGAGCTTCCCTTCCCTCACATGTCTGTCCAAAACGTTATAGCACATGTTGGTTTTGGCTCCTTCCATGCACTTGACAAATATGCTGCCCTTCGTTACGTCAAAGTTGTACTGAAGCATCGGCCCTGCCGCTGGCTTCTTCCAGAAGAACTCATCAGCAATCTCCTTCCAGAAAGCTGAGACAAAGACACCGTTTGTCAGATCAGGCAGGTGAGAATGGACACGCCGTTCATAAGACAGACCCACCTTCTGGATTCTCCAGCGACTTCTTGTACATTTCCAGGTAGGAGTTCAGATCAGGCACGTGAGCATCCCTCTGCAGGTCGGGAGGAGGGTAGTACATCTTGTCCCGGGATTCGGACACAACCATCGTAGGACAGATGTGGTCAGGCCTGTGTCATCTGAGGGTCGGGTGGAGAAATGGAAGTGATGTGCAGTCTCTGCTGCACTGTGTGGCTCCTCCAGGGGTGAGGTGAGAACAAGGCCTCCTGCACGGAAGCAACACAATTCAGCATGCAGAACAACCCGCCCCTGATCCCAGATCTGGAGACAGATCCTCAGTCTGCTTAGTGTCGGGGCATCCAATCGGCTCACAGGACCGAGCACTCCCACTTTTTCATTGGACGCGTCTCAGCTCGCACGCTGGCCACGTTATGCTCCCATGCAAGTGAGTGGACAGGGAGGAGGAGGTCATGTGCAGTCGGATGACTGCCGTGGGTTCAGTTAGTTTTCAGAGGAACACTGGGAAGTTTGAGAAAAATAAAAAAAACACCAAGGAAACAACAGTTGTTTACGGAGTCGTAATTCTTGATCTTAAATGTGTTTTTACTGTGAGAAGCTGCAATTTAAAACATTTCTTGACACTTTTTTTTCTGATTTAAAAAAGAAATTAGTATATTTACATGTAATAGTAAAGAAAATGTATTTGTACCTATGTTTGTAATGGCTTTGGTTTGGACTTTTCCCATCAACCAATGATCATAAAATAAACTAGAGAAATATTTTCTGCAAAAAAATTGACTTTGATGAAAAGCTGAAACTTAATAGCAAAACTGTAGCTCAATGCAGGAAAAGTTTGACTAAAAGTAGCAGAATGGTAGATATTGACAAAGACAAAGGGAAGAGTTAATTTTCTTAAGCAGATTTCAACAAGAACAATGTTCATGATGGAACTGAAGAAATCTTAGTGTATTACTATGGATAAACTATTTGTAAACAAAGTACAATTTAATGAAAGTATAAAACTTGCACAAACAAAAAGTCTTAGCATGAATTTCCTGAATGAATTGAACACTTTGACATAAAAATTATTAAAACAACACCAAATGTACAGATGTAGACAGTAAAACATAACATAAAACAAATGTAATAAATGATAATATGAATTAATTTCACTGGCAAACAGTTAAACACAATTCAGTAAATCATGAAAAACCTTTTTTACATTACATTGGCCTCTGAATATTTTTTTTTGTAAACTAAAGCAACTTACTTTACCTGCCAGCTTAAGATTTATTTTACTATATTTGCTCTAGACAAACTATTTTAATCATTAGCATAAACTACAATTCACCACGTCTTTCTGTTACATATGGGCTAAATTTGATTTGTCATTACAAACACTTGTTTTGGGTTTGTAAAATATATCTAAATATGTAATCAAGATTTAGTTACTTGTATTTTTCACATCAAGCCGAGGAAATTAATACAACTTGCTAAAATTAATTGTGGCATCCTAACGTTTGAATTTATAAAACAAATACTTGCACAAATCTAAACTTGCACACAAGTCTACACTTAAAAAGAGCACCTGGAATCTTGAAAGACTTGACAGGAAACATTGAGAGCATAAAGACATTAGAGAGTTATCAGTTAAAACAGCTGAAAGGGTTATCATAAAGCTTCTTTAAGATGATTCAACAGATTCTGACATAAATGTCCAGAAAGCTTAACTCTGGGATCGATTTAGCGGCGAAGACTGACGTTTTGGTCAGACCCAACTAATCGAACCAGAGTTTTCTGGTGTTGATGTCTAGCACAGCTATCCCGTCCTTTTGCTAACACCTCAGGACCAGATTTCAGGCCCAACATGTTTTTGTCGGCTGCTGTTCGCTCTGCTGTGTCGCAGACGGTATGGATGTGATATTTTGCATGATTTTAACCTCAGATGTGCGTGTTTTTTTCTAGAAGTTGGAGGGAAAGTGGTATGACTCTACAAGGACGTAGCTGAAGCCGCTAAGCTAGGCTAAGCTAAGTAGCGTTAGTTGTCTTTCTAGTTAACTGTCAAAAATAAACCTTATAAAGGATGAATTTACTTGTTAATGTGGTTGTTGTCTTCCTACTATTACCGTATAGTTTCTGTATCAGTTCAACATTTGAACCACGTTAAGGAAAAGAACAGGTAACAAATATTTTTTACCTGTACGTATTATAATAATTACTGAGGTTATTTACATTTAGATGGTTAAGTTTTAGCTTCTTTTGCTGTTACATTTGTCTAATAACGACTAAATCAAGAATCAGTCAAAATACTGTAAAATATATATATAGTATAAATATATAGTATAAATGCTCATCTTTAATTATAATTCACCTGTGAATTTGGAGGTTTGTAGTTTTAATTTCTACTGTGACCTCAATTTGTTAATCAAGTTTTGCAGTCCAGCAGTTAAATTAATAAGAACATCACTATTTAGCATAGGTTATTATTTTTGTTAAACTTTTGTTTAATCTATATTTAAAAGTTCCAACCAACCCCTGTTTGTATAATTCCAACTTTACTATGTTGTAGCTATTGGCTAGGTATGCGTTAAGAAAGATTACCCTGTCAGTGCCCAACATTTTATTTCTTAAAAGCTTGATGTACTGCATAAGCATCATTTGTTTTAATTCTAGTCTTAGATTACCATTTATTGAAATTATTAACCAAACGTCACATCAGGTCCTCAGATCTTCTTCTGTATCTTTGTTTCTAAATACTCGTGAAAGCAGTCCTCTGTTGAGGTTAATGAAAACTAATGAGTTGCCCGTGTGTATTTTACCTGCATGTCTTCCCGTGTGTTACAGGCCAGGCATGTCAGGGGTCTGCATCGATCTGCTGCACGCTCTGGAGCTGGAGGCGTCTTCGTGGTGAGTTCCACTTTCTTCAAATTAACCAATACTCGAGGCTCTAATAAAGATCTGCTTTGTTGAAGCGGTTTATGCCAAGAACGTTCTAAAATCAGTTTTCTGTTAGCGTCTTGTTGTTTCTGACAAAGTATTTATTTTTATGCATTCATCCTGTCCATGTGGACAGTTTCTTGTCAGAGCTCGAAATTGATAACCTATTAACATAGAAACGTGAAGCTGCACCTCATGGGTCAAGGATGATCCTTGTTGATTTCAAGGTCAAAGGTTAAGTTCACAAGTGTTTGTTGAAACCGTCTGTGCTCCAGCTTGACATCTGTGTAGCAGAAGTGTCAAACCACCTTATCTATCCATCCATAAGAGTTAGCAGGAAGTTGAAGTTGCCCATTGTTGAATTCCACATGTTTAGGATAGAGTATGTCATCAGACTATGGCTCCACATCGGATCTTGTTTTTATTAAGACCACTTCCACCAAAGAAATCTTGAGTGGTTCTGGTGAAGTCCATTCCTCTGATGATAAACTGGTTTGGAGCAGCTGGTAAGTCACCAACAGGTTTCCACATTGCAGATGGCTGCACTTTCACGTCTCTTTAAACGAACTGCTTGTTGATTTACACCATGGACGACATTATCAGTCAAACTGACCTTTCACCCCACCACAACCGTGCGTTTACGTAATAAACACTTATACTCAGGACGGTTCTTTGAGAAAATGTATGCTTTGGATTTTGATTAATATTTTACCAATAGATGTATTATGGACCGCTGGCGGTTCTCTTGTTTATATATTGCTGAGAAGTATTGAACCATAACCATCTGTTTTAAATTGCATTAAGATGTGAAAAAGAAAATGAGACAACAGTGTAGTCTGAGAAGGACGTACCGGTAGTCTTGTTGCATTATTTAGTAAAAGACAAAATAGACGGAGAATACTAAACACAGAGGAGTTTCCTGTGCTGTTTGGTTTAATTGTTCATTGTGTGAGAAACACTGAACCTAATCGTTTTTCAGTCAGTAATGTTAATTCCAGAGTTGTGTATAACCAAAACCTACAAGTTTTATTTAATCTTATCTGTAGTATTATCAGTCAGAAGTTTTCTTGTTGTGTAAATGCTGCACTTTGCAACATGTTTACTTATTTTAACAAAAGGTTATACCATGGCTTTATAAAACACGCATTTTAAAGAATAACTCAAATATACCGTAGTCACATTTTTATGTCAACATTTTATCAAATAGCTTCAAAATGTCCCACTACGTACACAATTTAAAAAAAAGTTCTGACCACAGCTCAGCTTCATGATTTTTTTTTTACTAATCCCAGGAGTAATACTTTTCCAAACGTTTCTTATACATGTCCAAGGAAGAACTTTTAGAGCACGTGTGTCAAACTCAAGGCCCGGGGGCCAAATGTGGCCCTCGTTGACATCTTATCTGGCCCCCAAGATATTTTAAATGTAAAATACTTTTATCACTTAATTTTTTTTCAGTAATCTTTGATTATGATGTCAAAAGTGTAACAGAGAATATCAAATGAGACCAAACTCTTGTTGAGGAACCTGCAACCAAAAAAAGATGTTGAGTCTCTAACTTGAGTTCGATTCTGAAACCGGCCCTTAGTTTGAAAAAGGTTTTAATTGTGGCCCCCGTTTGTAATTGAGTTTTAGAGCAACAAAAATATCTCACACACAGTTTCACAGCGTTCTTCTGAGATGCACTGACCACAGTTTAATAAAATAAAAACTTCGTCCTGGGTTGGATGTTGGCACCTGCTCCCTCTCACGACTCAAAAAAATGTTTGTCATCTGTTTTCTCAAGCGTAGATTGTTGATCATAACAGCTTCCCAATTTTATAGCTTTATATTTACTTTTTTATTTTCACATAATAGTGACCTTTTAACTTTTTCCAGCACAGAGATACTCCAGACAACAACCCAGACACGCCGTTCAAGTTCACGGCAGAAAACGAAAAGGTGAGTCGTCTGCGTAGACCAATGTGACGTTTCCTCACGTATACACACGCACGTTTCATTTGTCTTTACAGGAACCGGTTCTCTAAAAAAATACATTTTAGTTTAACAGCCTAATTAGTTAAATTACAGTAAAGATCAGATAGTTGTCTTTATTTACTTTCCTTGCAGCGGATCCAGGTGATCTTGTCGATGTACCCTGAAGGACACAAGCAAGCAGCAACTATCCCCATCTTGGATTTGGCCCAGAGACAACACGGATGGCTCCCCCTCTCTGCCATGAACAAGGCAAAGTGATTTCTGAAACCTTTTTTTTTTTTTTCTAGACGTGCTCCGCTTTCCAATAACCCGCAGGCGACCCAACGTGTCTGCGTCAGATACGACTTTCTCCTTCAAATATCATTTTGTTCAACTCGTCCGGGTAATTTTTCACAAAAACTAAACAGTCACAGATGAACATGTTGGCTTAATGCTGCTTCTGCGCAATCCGATAAATTATTAAAGTTTAAACTTTTACCTACACTAATTAACCAGTTTGTTACTTACTGGTTTTAAACCATATAAACAACTTCTGATTATTAAAAGGTTGTAAGCTCCGTGTTTACATGAACATCGTTACTGCAATAGAATTAAATTTACCAAAGAAAAACAGGCATAAATAAACCTTATTATCAGAAAGTGATATTTTTAGCTCCTATCCATCCAACACGGTCAATGCAGCATTATCATTCTTTTTTTATTTTGTAATTCAACCTTTATACAGTTTAGTCTCATTGAGCCTCGAGGACTCATTTACAAGAGACAGGTTTGAACAAAGAACAACAACGGTTCACAACTCTAAAAAAACATGAATTAAAAAAATAAATTGAAGAAAATATATTTAAAAAATAGCTACAGTCTAAAGCGATGTAAAATAGTAAAACCAGGAACAGGTCTGCCTTGTTTTGTTGCCATGAACTAAGCAGTTGTTTGAAGCCACCAGGAGAGGTCGAGTCTCAGATTTATAGATTGTCAATTATCATTATTTATTATTATTATAGATTTGTCTGGTTGATATAAATTACTGATAATTTGACGTCATATTGTGTTTAATGCTAGGGTCTCACTGGGCTGCAGGGGTTGGAGATTAGCCCAAATTTGTAGACAAATACACAGTCTGAGTGTTTACAGCCAAACAACCGGTGAAACTATTCAAGGCTGTGCGCTTTAATTTGTTGCCCACCTCGACAGACACGTGTATAAAATTTATGATATCAGGGTTTCTGCAGGATAAAAAAGTGTTCAGCTTTTGGTCTTAAAATATGTCCATTTTCCTTTATAGGTCTTAAAATACATTTGTCTTGAATTTAGGTATTTGTTCATCCAATGAGTCTTTCTCAACCATTATTCAATGTGTTGCTGGCCTTCATTCGTCCAGAGGATTTCTGATGGTTTTTGTTTTTACACTGGAACAAAACTAAAAGACTCGTTTTGCAGCAGCCATTTATTTAAGGACACTCAGCCTTCATCGCAAGAATCTAGCTGCTGCGCTCCTGACTTAAAAAAATAAATAAAAAAATTATTCAATTTGGGGGAAAAAGCAATAAAATGAGTTACCGGTACTTTGAAAGAAATCTTACGACTCGTACTTTTAATAGTTGTTGTTCATGAAGGTCTTAAATTTCAACCGTAACGGTCTCTAAAAAGGCTTGAATTGAAGTGGCTGAAATGTGCAGAATCCCTGGATTTAATTTACTGGAGTACGTCAGCATTTGAAATGAAGATGGGCATGCTTTCTGTCAAAGGAGAACTCTCCTGCAGGGGTCCAAATACAGCTCAGGTGCTCTGGAGACGAGTTAAAAGATGCCCACAACAAAACTGAGAAGGGCTTCGAAAGCACCTAATTATTTTGAGAATGGAAATAAACAAAAAGCCTCACAATTTGATTAGATCACGTTTTAAACTTCAGCAACAAGACTGATAGCTTGAGGGAAACTCAGAACCCTCTGCAAACGTTTCAAGATGTTTGAGAGTCCATTTTAAATCCCGTTTGCCAACTAGTTGCAGCCCAGTGACCTTCAAGCCATTAAAGCCGTGGTTCTGGTTTGATTCCCAGGCTTGTTTGAATAAAACCACAGAAAAGAAAAATGCAGAAGTGATCGATTGTCACGAGGAGCAGAATGTTGTAACAGATCGATGGATCCATTTTTAATGTTCTCTTTCGGTTCAGTCATGACGATTAGTTTTTATGCACAATGTTAAATTTGAAGAGTGCTTGCACATCAATTGATATTCGTTCTCATTCAGGTTGCTGAGGTACTGGGGGTCGCTCCTATGAGGGTGTATGAAGTGGCGACATTTTATACCATGTTTCAGCGTCAGCCTGTGGGAAAATACTTCATCCAGGTGTGCACGACAACGCCGTGCATGCTCTGCAACTCCGACAGCATTCTGGAGGCCATCCAGAACAAACTGGGTAAGACTCATTCTCCATTTTGAGAAACCAAAGAAGAGATGAACATCCAAAATGACAATTGTTCATTTTTATTGAGCAGTTTTTGGAACACAGATCTGGTACAAACATGTAAATACACAGCTAACGTGCTCTTTTGTTTTCTTAAGTCTGCGAAATGTTTGGTTTTACTTTCCATTAGTGAAGTCGTTAAAAAAAAGTTTTCAGTTTCAGGAGATTAGCTGCGTCTCTCTGCAGGTATTAAGGTTGGAGAAAGCACTGCAGACAAGATGTTCACTCTAATAGAAGTGGAATGCCTGGGCGCCTGTGTGAACGCTCCGATGGTCCAGATCAACGACAACTATTATGTGAGTGCCTCAGCTCCTCTGTGCAGATGGGCTTCCTCACTTAACTTTCTGACTGCATTAACAAAATCAGATTAAAAACACAAATTAGGTGGAATGCCTGCAGAGCCGAGGCAGCTCAGGTGTGGTTTACCCCCCTCCACCCCTTACCACACACACGCGCCAAACGTTTCTGAACTCAGTTCTGGAAATAGATTAACTTCATTTGTGAGAAGTGCTATTAAAAAAAAAAAGCCCTCTTTAGATTTAAACGTTTCATGAAACTTATTGGGCACCGATTTACTTTTTGGAAAGCGAGTTAGTGCGAGCAAAGCAAAACTGATTGACCCAATTAAAAACCAAGTGGGGAAAAGAGGACTTCTGTTAAACTACAAACTGCTGAGATATGAACATTAAAATGAGCTGAGGTGCTTTTCATCGTAGCCAGTTCTTACTTTAGGTGAATAATCAACAATCTGAAATGCAGATAACCATTAAAACAAGATAAGAGTCATCTGTTTATTTTGATCTAAGAGGCTCAGATTGGATAAATTAAACATTTTAATATTAAAGCAGGCAGTTTTTGAAAAGATGTTAGAACAGTCTGTTTTGGAATATAAATTTTAACTTTTTATATCACTACAAGTAGGGCTGGACGATATGGCCAAAACTTTTATCACGATATATCTCTTAATTTCGGTCGATAACGATATAATTCGATATCGATATAACCAATATAAAAGCCTCAGAAAAACTACAAACTATACAAATAAATTAATGTTCACCTTTTATTTGTATTTAGCCTTCAAAAAAATTGAAATCACTGTCAAATGAACTTAAAATTCTCAACTTTGTCGATATTAATAGTTTTAACTTTAAACAACTTTAAAATTGACAGCATTGAAATTCGTTGTTAATAAAATAAAATTGTTGGGTGTCGTTATTAATGAGAAGCTGACATGGAAATCTCGTAAAATACTTAAAAATACAAATAATCAATTGCATTACTGTATAAAGTAAGAGTTTTTGAATGACAAAGCTTTGTATATATTGTATAATGTAATGATTGTTCCATATTTAATCTATTGTAATGAAGTTTGGGGAAAAGCAAAACAATTACAAATCCTATTTTTATTTTTACAAAAACGAGCTATAAGAATTATTATTATTATGAAGTGCTATAGTCATCCAACAAATATATTATTTAATCAATTGAAATTATTAAAATGTTATGATTTGGTTGAATATAGTATTTTACAAGTCATGTATAAAGCTCATAAAAATATTAGCCCCAAATATTCAATTAAAATTTGTAAAAAATAAATATAAAAAAAGGAGAGACAATATAACTTAAGGGAATGTAAATGTTTGTAAAACCTCCATTTAGAACTAATCTGAAGGAGCTGCGTTGTAATTCAGGGAATGGGATTATGGAATTGCCTTGATGTCACCACAAACATTTCTAAAACAATTTATAAGTTTAAAAAGATGATAGTTAAAGTTGTTAGGAAGGTTTAGTACCAGGTGAAGGATGCCTGAAGTTTTTTTTGTTTTCAGTTTGGAGATTGTTCAAGTCAAGGTCGTTGTTGTTGTTTGTAGTTATTTTGTATTTTTTAAATTAGGGGCAGATAAGAATTTTTTTTTTTCTTCTTTCTGCAACTTTTTCATTCAATGTTTTTTTTTCTTTCTGATGAATTTGTTTCATTTTAAATGAATGACTAAATGATAAAAACAAACAAAACATGCAGCGCTGGGGGTGTTTCAGGGACACGTTGGCTCAAACTTTATTGTGCTTCATCATGTGACTCATCATCTTCTGTCAAGTGGAACAAGTTAGATGTTCCCACCGCTAGTTGGAACGACTCTCCGTCACATTTTGCAGCACGCTGACTGAAACCTGCAGTTTATCGTGTCTTAGAAAGCCGAACCACTTCCAAACCAGCAAATTAGTCTTTCCTCTCTTATCAGTGATGTCATCTGCTTTCTCTTCACTTGTGGAAGCTTGTTCAGTCCCATTCTGACGATCAGGGGCACTCATTTTGAAGAGAAAACTTAACGCGCGTTGGAGATTAGCCTAGCTTAGCCTGCTACCACTAACGCCTTCTGGACTTAAGCTCTGCGTAACATTACGTCACCACGCACTTCTGGACTTGAGCTCTGCGTAACATTACGTCACCACGCACTTACGTAGTTGTGTCGCACCTTTTTCTGTCCGGGTTGAAACTGAAGTGGCCGCTTCAACCCGAACAGAAAAAGAAACGAGTCAGTGAAACGCTGTAATCCCATCGAAATATCGAAAATGTGCTTAAAACTCAGTTATTTAATAAAAGTATATCGCGAGATATATCAAATTATTGTCCAGCTCTAACTACAAGATACCAAATATCACAGTACAGCTTTTTGTGTTAATGTTGATGAGCAAATGTTTTAAGTATAAAAGCTACCGCTGGCTTCGTCAAAGCATCAAGTCTTTGGTTGGCTTAAATAGCAAGAAATGTCTTACAGTTTTGAAATTTTCTATTAGAACTGTAATTTAAAATCAAATCAAACCTAATTATAAAGTACAATTTTGTTTATCTGTATGTAAGCACAGTAACTTGCTTTATTGAGGCTTTGGCCAAAACGCAACAGGATTACAGTATTTAAGAGTTTGTATTTAGTTGTTTTAAATAATAATCCATTAATTTCAGTTAATTTTTGGTGCTGTAGTCATCTATTTGACTATTCGTTCTCCCGGGGGATTTATTTATCAATTGTTTTTATAATTTAGCTGAAAAAAGGCGAATACACCAATTATATTTATGTTGTAGTTTTGGTTCCATATAATTCCAGTCTTCATCTTCACTGTGGTCGTTTCGTCTGTTTTAGATTTAAAGGCTTAACGATAAGAACAAAGTCCATGCTCAATAATTAACGATAAGAGCTGTTGCTTAATTGTGCCACTTTGTTTAAACACTTGTTAATTTTCATTTATTGTCCTTTTTTAAAAGTGTAATTTACTTTATGAGAAACAAAACGAGAAGTGAAATTTGACCAGCATTGTAAGAGGACTAGCACAAAATAAACAAAAGGATTTAATTCAAAATAATAATAATTACATCGTTATTTGAAAGAAACATCTGAAGCCGATATTAATAAGTAAAAAAAAAAAAAAAAAAGTTTATTTCTTTTAGCTGATAAAGATGGAAAATGCTGGCTTTGTGAAGAAGATATGTTCATATAGCATCTAAAACAAAAAAGTTGCAGTTTTCAGAGATTTTGAGTCCGTTTGGACTCTGGACACAAGTAATTACTTACTCAAGTGTTTCACGATTGTTAAAAACTTATCAGGAAGACAAGAAACTTAATCAAGTGAACTGAAAGTAAATATGGTACAGCTGAGACCAGCGTAGAAGAGGAACAAAATTGTGTAATTGGGGACAAGATTTTAAAGATTATTGAGTTAGAACTGTTCATTTTAGATGGTCAGTACTATAGTACTTCTTAAATATTTAATGTCACGAGCTAAAGGTTTTTTAGTTCTATATAAATGTAATGAGCACTTTCACTACCCACCACCATATTCATGCTGATGTATTTTATTCCTCTTTAATTCTCGTCCTCAGGAGGACCTCACACCTAAAGACATCGAGGATATTATTGATGAACTGAAGGCAGGAAGAGTCCCACCACCTGGACCGAGGTACATGGATTTTATTCTCGGATTTTCTTGTCGTATCATGCAGATTCTTTTAGTTTATTTTAACTTATTTCTTGCAGGAATGGGCGTTTCTCATGCGAGCCTTCAGGAGGACTGACCTCTCTGACTGGACCTCCAACAGGACCAGGATTTGGTGTCAGACCGGACCTGTAGACATATTTGGGCCACTCGATCTGAATTCTGAAGATTTCAACCCAAATTCTATGACATTGTGTAAATAAAATGTTCATGTACCTGTTGTCTAGCTGAGTGTCTCTTATAAGGATTGTACTTTCATTGTAGCTTTTAATAACAATTGTGACAAATTTATACAGGTGACTTTTTTTGTTTGAACAGATTTATTTTTGTGTAGATGTTATTACACAGGTCTCAAACTAGGCATCTAATGTTAGTCTGTATTTTTATTATACTTGTGCCTGGTGCAACAAATTTAAAACAGATGGATTAACTTTTTTTTAGCAAAGCGTGCCACCTATCCAAAATTATGCAATACATTTATATGTTGTCTAGAAATTAATTTGTAAAAACTAAAAGTTGTGGATCGCAATTTTGTATTTGATGTCTATTTTAAAGGCCTTTGTAAGATGGCAAACTTGTGCCAAGTCTTAACTGCCTTTATAAAATATAAAAGTAAATGTTTAAAAGCAAAACAACAACAATGTTCTACAGATGGATGCCCAACTATGACAATCAGACTGCACTTCAAGTACAACTGTATTTATTTTACTTACAAGACTCCAGTTACAATAAATACCTCAATGTGGCAAAGAATCAGATTAAATAATTTGGCAATTTAGATTTGATCAAATGTATGGCAGGTGCTACTCGAGTAATCAATTAAATATTTGAGTACCATTACGAGATAGAGGCACTAGCTTAACTAATTTGAATTTAAATTATAATACCTAAAAAGGGGCACAAATAGATTAGTGTAATACATTAAGCATTTCTTGCACTTTAGTGTAAAAACAAAAAATACGAAGCTTTCCGAGTGTCTAGCCCGTGCCCCTCCCCCACCTTCAACCCTGCTCTGCAACATTAGTCGACGCATGCGCAGTAAGCGCAACGCGATGCAAATGTCACTGCGCAACAAATTCTAAGCTGACTCATACAAAGAAATGGCGGGCAATAAGTGATAATTACCGCCATCACTTTGTTATTGACATTTGGAACGAACCATGTAGCAACTGCTCACTGGATGAAAGCGAAAAACGGAAGCACTGTTCACCCTCTCAACCCCGGCCTTGAGCTTCGAGAAAGTTCCCACTGACCGCAACACACCAGCGGAAAAGATGACGTCAAGCGGCCATTCTTGTTCTCCCTCTCCTACCATCCCGATTTTACACGCCAAAAAGCCGCCTGTAGAAGCTAAACACGCCGCTAACTTTTAAAACGCGATAGCACAAATATTACTACAAGCATTAGAAAATGCGGATTTACTCACAGCCTTGACAAATAGCACCTAAAAACCATTTGACACGTCCCTCATCTACGAGCCTAGCCCAGCAGACGCGAGACCTTATAAGCTCGGTGGGGCTCGGGCGGTCACGTGACTCCCTCTCGACCAATGGGAGTGGCGCTTGCATGTTTTGCTGGGCTTTTCTCGGAGACAGACGAACGGCTGGGATGTTTTCAAAAGCGGAGATGAACGTCACACAGCCGTAGGCTACGGTTAACGTACGATATTTAGAAAGTAACTGTCAAAATAGCCCGATATTCACATCTGACGCAACGCGAATGAGTCGGTAGGAACGCGCGACCCGATTTACAGGTAAGCACGAGACGATTTAAACATTGCTTGGCTAAAAAAAAAATCCTACTTAGCCGTCTGGCTTTACGAACAGGCTAATGTAAGGCTAACTTCACGTCAACTGAAAATGAATGTTGTGTGTTTTGCGTGGGTTCGGTATAGTTGTGTGCCACGTGCGTTACACACACTGACCTGTTTCTACCCGGTAACAGAAATTTCTGCCATTATCCTTTTTATTTTTTAAGAACGTGAACGTGTCGTGTTGCGTTTAAACGCCAGCATCCAGAGAGAAGCGGTAGGGAAAATGTCGGAGCGAAGCACGGCGGGTCGCCCCCCGTCAGCGAGGCTGTGACGGGGGCTGGAAAGGCTGGGGAGGGGGATCGAAAAAAGAGGGCTGCAGTCAGCCAGTGTGCTTTTGTCTCGGGCTTTTGTGTTGAACATTTTTTTTAATGCCATTTAAAAACGATGTGTGAACTTGATTAGCCTCGCAGCACCCGATACGCCTTCACGTGCGAAACGCCGCCAATCCCACGTTTAATATCACTTCGCATGGCTTTAATCCGCATTAACACAGTGCGTTTTATTTGCTTTTTGTCAGAGACATCAACCAGGACGTGTGTGGTGGTGTCTGCTACCATCTAACCACTGTTTATTTACTATTTCTTAACGTAATCGCCGTCTAATTTAGTGTGAGATATGATTATGATTCGTTAATGCACACAAGGAAGTCGCATAGCTCAAGTAATTAGGAGCTTTTCGCCTCCAAGACATTGACTGACATCTTGGGGGTGTGTTGCCTGACACAAAAGCTGCTTGTTTTCACATGTGCAACGACCAGACATGGCATTAAAATGAGCAAAAGTTCAAAATATAACCAAGATTACTCACAGTCAGATGGCTTTAGATGCTTGCGTGCCTTATGATATGTCAAATTATTGCATCTTTATTGTTTTATTAAAAAAAAAATTGTGTTTATCATCTATAATAAAAATAACAACTAAATTCGCATTATTCTATACCAAAAGTCTACCGCATGATTTGTAATAAATTAGTGAAATCACAAGAGTGGTGTTTTGTTGCCAACCTTAGCGAGTTGTTCATCTACGTACGAATATTGACAAGGACACTTGGATAGGTGCAGTGATGGATATTGAATGGATAAAATAATCAAGAGTCAACAAACGAACAATGACGTCAGAGGCGCCAGGTCCAAAGAGAAAAGGTAAAGTTCTTTCTTCTTCTGGAAAGAAATGGCGACTTTTAAAACCGTGAAGACGAGAGTTGGTAGACGTTGTCATTTTGGTGGGAGGAAATTGAGCGTTGAGGGAGTTAAAGCAAAAGTTGTGGCTATAATCAAATGTATACGGGTTGTGTTGAGAGCTTCCCAACTCTTAGTGGGGAAAATTTCCAAAACTGACGGTGCCTGATTGTCAAATGTAGCTGTAAACGAAAGTGAGGAATCTTTTACAAAAACTTAGATGCGTTTGAGTTGCATTAATCCCAAAACAATCTTTCATTGGTGTAGAAATAATAATCTGATTCAAAACCACTGAAAATGTATGTATTTTAACATTAATAATCCTGTTGCGACATTTTTGAATGTAGCCCAAGAGCAAAGCATTGTATTCTATAAAAGACGAGTTCCATTGGTCATAAAATATATTTGCATGCATTGTCTAATATCAATTAAATGTATTCTGTAAGGTAAGGATAGAAAAATACATTTGTCTTTGAGAAAATAAATTGAGATTTAATCAAGAGCCAATCTGTAGTTTCTGACCCCAAGGGATGGGCTCACCAGGGTTCCTGGAAAAGCCTGGAATTAGTTTTTAGTATTTTCCAGGTGTAGATAATAAGAAAGTAGAGTACAGAAAAACATTAGTGTTTCCAGACTTTATTTTCCCCCTCCTTCATTTTATAAATAAAAAAAAAAAAAAGCACCTGGATGTCTTTTTTAATTTTATTTTAAATAAAGCATTTTTATAAAAACTCAAATTAACAATAGTATTGCAATGATAATATCAATTGCAATAAACCCACATTATACAAGGTGTGGACTAAAGACCAGTGACACTGTTGGATTAACCACAAATATTCTGCTGTGGAACATGAACTATAATGACCCGTGATTTATCGCAGTCCTTTGTCATTATAATATTAATATTGCAAAGTTGCGATATATATTTTGCAATGCTAATTGACACTTGCTGTATGCAAAACATTTTATAAACTGAAAATAATGAAATTTTACCATTTGTACTGTAGCTCGTGAACACTGGAGGGTGAAATGTTGCAGTTAAGAATAAAAGTCTTGCGCTACAAGAACGCACCCTAATCTTTACAAGTTTAGTTAATCTTTGGGATTTCATGACTAAAACTGGTCGAAATATAACAAGTGTATCTTCAAGTATAACCTTTATTTAAAATTATAATAGCATCCTTTTGTATTTCGTTACCTGTTTTGCAGGTTTAAATAACCTTATTTGTATAAATATCCCAGAAGTCTTGACGTCTTAGAGCTGTTAAAACTAAACTGAACAGAAAGTTGCACTTAACGAGTTAATGATGTTTTACGGAGTTTTTAAAAACCTCTTAAATTTGACATTACAAAGAACAGTAAATGAATAAACAATCTTCATGCAGTTTGGGTTTATGATTTCTCTTCAAGACATTCTTCATAAACGTTAGAGAAAAATGTTAATCAGAGCCTCGGCTGTGAAGGAAACCGTTGACTGAATCTTATGAATGGAGCGTATTATTCTCAGATTAGGATGATGGCGCTTCACGTGGAGGGATTGTTTATGCTGCCAGGGTTGATGGTCCTGTGTAAGTAATGAAAAGCGGTGGGATTACATACCGACGTATCGGTTTATCTCCTTTGTTGTTAATTTCAGGACCGTAAGTTGCGACTTCGACCTCAGTACGTCTACTTGTACTAATAAAAACGGCTTGTGATGTTTTTGTATCGTTACTCAAGATTTTACATGTTTGGCAGGTAAATTTAAAATAAGTAGCAGGGTAAATGAACAAAATGATTTAGATTTAGACACTACTTTCACAACAAGAAAGCACAGTTTTTTTTGTCTTTAATTTAGGAGCCTTTTCCTTCTTTCGGCTGCTCCCTTCTTCAGGGAGCGCCACAGCAAACTAGCTCACACAAAAGACTTGGTGATTGTTTTTACGCTCGACGCCCTTCCAGACGTAACCACCGAGCTACCACAGCCCTCTGTGTGGAGCAGAGAGCTGCCATGTAGGGCGCCCAGGGAGCAGATGGGGGAGATTAAGGCCCTTGCTCAAAGGCACAGAGTGGGGCATGAGGGTGGAGGCAGGTGTGGGTGTTTCTAGGCCTGTCACGATAACACATTTTTCTGGGCGATAAATTGTCTCAGAAATTATTGCGATTAACGATAATATTGTTTGAAATTTGACAATAATTAATAATCATTGTCAAATTTAAGAAGAAATGTTGGATTTTTGTGTGTAGTACCTTTTTGACCACTGGATGGCAGTATAAGACAGTTTGAACCAAAGGATGGATAGTGAGGGAGCGAGCAGCGTGTCTCTGTAAGAAAAATGAGAGGGAGGCCCCTTGACGTGACATGGGCTGTCTCTTGTTCTTGTTTTTTGGTTCTCAAAATGGCAAACGCTCGGAGTGGTTTCAGCTCTTTAGCATAGCAGTTATTACACAAAGCTTTTAATAAAAAATCAGTAGACAAGTTCTCAGCTTCTTTTGCAGAAAAACAATAACTTTTTAGATGAAGGCACAGGTTTCAACCGTGAATTTTGGAGCTTCGACAAGACGGAGGTTTTTTCCCTGAGGTCAGCCTGTTAGCTTAGCTTCTCAGCTTAGCTTCTCAGCTTAGCTGCTTTTAATGATACAAAAACGCGATTTTGGACGGTTGAAACAAATTTTAAAGAGAAAGGGAGGGGTCAGTGAAGAGCACCCGAGTTGAGCTTTTTGTCGTCCAGTGTCTTCAGTAGAAAGAGAGAGACACGAAGAAATGATAAAGCCTTTAAATGAAAATGAGGTCAATAATTTTCGTTTATCATGCGATTAATTGATTTATTGTGTATCGCGACAGGCCAAGGTGTTCCACCTTTCCCACTCGCATTTTGATATTGTCAGTTCAGGGAGTTGAACCAGCAACCTTCCAATCACAGGCTTGCCTTCTCTAGTCTCTGCGCCACCGCTCTCCATAAAAAAAAAAATCCTTTATTTTACCAGGAAGAAATCCATTGAGATCATCAATCTCTTTTACAAGGATGTCCTGGAATTTAGGAGCCGATGATGCTAAATACTTCTGCCTTTAATATTACACTCAAATGAAAGTTATACAGTGAACCCTCACCTATCACGGGAGTTACGTTCCAGAGACCCCCACGGTAGGTGAAAATCTGCATGGCGTTATATTTTTCCTATTATTTATATATATATTAAGCTATTATAAACCCTTCCCACACTCCTACAAACCTTTCCCACTGTTATAAACACGTCATCTGCCGATAAACACTTTGGCGATGAAGATGATGACGACAAGATGAATGTACAGTACACACAAAATAAAAAAACGGGTTTAACAAACCTGCGATACAGTGAAGCTGCAAGACGTGAACCGCAATTTTGTGAGGGATGACTAGTCTCATTTGTTCTTTACTGGAGGAAGTACATCTACATGTTTTTACAAGCAGAATTAGAGTAAGTAGTTGGTCATTTCCGTGTATTTTAGTTTGTATTTCATCACTGCACAGTCTCTACCACCAGGAAAGAGCACACAATGTTGTGCATGTGTCACTCGGCCTTTCAGAGGGTCATCGGTGTCCATATCCAGCAGTCACTGTGCACTAGGTACACCCTGGACAGGTCGCAAGTCCATCACAGAGACAAACAACCAGTCACCTCTCACTCACACCTAGAGACAATTTAGAGTTACTTAAATAATGTAATAGTGTAATATAATTAATACTTGTTTCATTTTGTGGCTTAAAAAGCTTACTATTGTGAAACTAATTCAACTTGGACA